GATCATTTATTTGTCAGTGGGCAAACGTACAAAATCAGCAGGGGATCAAATACTTTTTTCCCTCACTGTATACTGTACCACATGGTTACATTGAGCGCATAGAGCTGTGAGCGTAACTTATAACTTAACCCAGGTTCAGCTGGACTAATTGGGTGGGGGGGAGGGCTTTCAGGTTGTGTTTGCATGGCATACTGCACATAATTAAATAGTACACACTTGCTAAATTACATTTACACGTAATTAGTACCCCACATTAAATGAACACTTATTATCAATGCACTGAACATTCTCTTTCGGACAGAGCTCTGTCGTCCCGACAGGTTTGTTCCTTTCACCTGAAGAAGGCCACTTGTGTTGTGGCCGAAACGTCGTGAGAATTTTATTGTGTTATTTTATTTTATTATTTTATTCTCATTCTAATTGACTTTACCGAAAGAACCAAAGAAGATGAATCATTGCAGTCACGAAAGCTTTAAATCGAAAGTACGACGTTTCGCTGGTAATTACATCCAGCATCATCGGGCAATTTGCCAGAATGGTAAAGCCCTCACTTGCTCCCGGTCTTAAATAGAGCAGCAGGGTGATGTCATCATTTAACTCATTCAGGTGCAGTGATTTGAGGCGGAGGGGGGGGATATTTTAATTATATAATCGATTGGTAATCATTCAATGGTTATGATTAGTAATGAGTTGTAGATTAGTAATTAGTTGTAATGTGTGTCATTGTGATTATATGTTACGTTCGTAATCCGTTAATTAGTATGTGTTTCCCCTTTCAGGAATTGTAATATGTATTATTTAATAATACGCTTCCAAGCCGCACTAAGCCTGTAGCTGTCAGAGCGATTAAAGTTATTTCTATTTCTCTCGATTTCAATGGATTCTCTAATTAGTCTTTGCCAGTAATAATTAGTTTTACACAACACTTCAACGTTATCAAAATCAATTGAGTGTCCTTGTTGACAAGCATGTTCTGCCACTGCCGACAGTTGTGTTTGAGATTATTTAATATTTCTTTGGTGTTCTTTTAATCTTATGCTGATGTTACATCCCGTCTGTCCAATATTGCATCTGCCACATAAACAATTAATCCGATATACACCTTCTGTTGATAATTTAGGTAATTCGTCTTTAGTGCAAGATACAAGTTTTTGAATGTTGTGTACTGTACCAAATCTTACTGTAATGTTTTGCTTTTACAAAACGTGTTAACCTGAGTCTACATTAGTGTTTTTTTTATTAACTTTATTTGTTATTATTTTCTATCTAAGTGACTTTACCGAAATAACCAAAGAATATGAATTCCTACAGTCACAAAAGTTTTAAGTAAAAAAAAAATACACTGAATATTTACAATAAATTTTTTTACAATTTTAAAATACCTTACATAAAATATTACAGCACTGTTTACCTTAGTCCACGAATGTGTTTGCGTGTTTGTAAGATGAATGTAAACTCAACGGAGAGAGTCCGAGCAAAGCATGGGGTTGACCGAGGCATGCAAGGGAACCAGTTCACTAAATTCCATAATACAGATAGGTAGGGTGAAGGGACCGGACTGTCCAGAGGACAGCATTGGAGGATGAAGGCCACTTGTGTTGTGGCCGAAACGTCGTGATTTTTGTTATTTTATTTTTACCTACGTGACTTTACCCAATAGAACCAAAGAGTATGGATCCTTGCAGTCACGAAAGTTTCAAACCTAGAATCATTTAAATGTTACATTGCTGCTTCTTGCTGCAAGCATAAATAATGGGTGTGGTGGCTGTTTGCATGTGTATTCCCTCATAACATGATAATTTAACTTGTAATCCAAAGCTATTTGGAGGTGGTAGTTCAGTCTGTGTAACTTGTCAGAGACCTTGTGAGACTGCCCTAATAAGATTGAGCTACTATTACACAAGAGCTCTCCTGTGCCGACTACATATTCAAATTCAACAAATGAGCTTTGAGACAGATGGTGATTGCTATACATTTACATTTTTATTCATTTGGCGCTTTTATATGGTTTCTAGCCAGTAGTCATGGACGACTGGTGGGTTAGTGCATTCTAATTGGCTCTCCAGTTCATTCCTGGTCACGTGTACCTATCTGAATGAAAAGTATGGCATGACATTTTGTTTTCAGAATACACTTTTGAAGTGGAAACATTTTAATGTATAAACCAAGGGAGGCTGTGTCCTAACCCCTCATCTTAATTCAGATAGAACTAATAAGTGGTCATATATTGCATTGTGCACACGAATTGGAAAGAAGCAAAGGGAATACAGTATTGCATTTGAGATAGGCAGGGTATAATCCTGATTACCTCTGTGTGGGAATTTAACAAGGGCCATATGGAGAGACTGACCCTGCCATAGGAAGATAACACTTCCACATTTACTGGAACTGATATTTATTGTATTCATCCATCAATAGCAATTCTTGTATTTCTTGACACATACATGATATCACGTGTAATAATCAATGTTTTGTTGATTTGTATGAAACGGGGGTGGGGGGTGAGTGACGCATTGGTTAGTACACTCTGCTTTGCACTCATTGACATGAGTTCGATTCCTGGCCATGGCTAACATGGGCAAGAATCGAACTCTCACAAACAACCCTCATTAGATTGTTTTCATCCAGCATTGCAATATCATTAATTGAATCGTGAGGGCACCAGAATTCTTTCACCCATTTCTGCTGCTGGGTCAGATTCGGCGCAACCAGCGTATTCATTTGAGCCTTGAACACCGCTACTGCATTGCTCGTTTGTGTATTCATTGTAATTGTAATCCGTGACAACCCATTGGCCATTCATTCGTTAACAAAACGAGAATTCAGTGGTCATTATTATCTATCTGAAGGTGTCCCCTGCTTCTAATCAGTAATAGGTATGCATCATAATTTACTGATTTCCTAAGAACAAACATCTGTATCAGTATTGTATACGTAGCTTCAAATAAAGGTCCGCAAGTTACACTTTATTGATCATCTCTAACTAAAACCGTTGGCTTTGGTCTGCCAAAAAAACTGTGCTGCATCAACCGCTTCAGAACAGCGACTGGATGCTGTGCATTTCCACGAGTGTAACATTAAAGATTACCCCACACAGTGCAGTGACTTGCGGCTACCACAACCAAACAATGGACAATATCGCAGACAACTCCATTCCACTAGGCCCGTTCCCGGTCGAACTGGACAGTTTTAATCACGCCCTCCTCCTGAAGCTGTCACGTGGTTTACAAACTTAAACCTTTGACCTGTAATTTACACATACGGTACTTGCCCTATGCAAGAAGAAGACTAAACCCGTTTTTTTTAATTACAGAATGTGTTGACATGATTTTTCAAAATTTCAATTTAAGGATGTTAAAATACGCAAAAATAAGTTTCCGAGTGAGGATTGCACACCCATTTTTGTGAAAGCAATTGTTTTGGCGTTTATGCAAAGGAGTCAGCATATTTATCACTTTTATTCCTGTACATTCTACCACGAATTTTCAACTTGCCTGTAATCCATTCACTACTACATTGTTATAGTCAAACACATGTTTTTTAAAAATTTTAAGTTATCTCAGGATGATTGCTTCTCAAGTTGCTGTACAATAGAAGTTTGCAATTTCAAGGATGGTCAGGAAGAGGGAGAATTCTTTACATGTGGAACTAATGCAAGAGGATATGGGCAACAAATTGATATTGCAATGAGAAGTGGATCATGATAGCGAGAGAATTTGATAACAAGTGGTTCTGAGAATCGTTCAAATTACCGGTATACTGGAACAATAAAATTGGAGTGTTAGTCGCTTGTACACGTGCCAGTTTCATTTGTTTGTCCGTGTCAGGTGTTGGAGGGTTGCAGGACAAATATTTGGCCAGATCATTGTGGCTTGACCAAAAAAGTCTGAACTTGAACAAGTTGAGATCAGAGGGAGGAGGTGGGGAGTTCTAAACAGTAGAGGTGGATGAGAAGTGAACTCCCACTGCAAAGGGTTCATTGGAGGTGTCCATCATAGGCCTTGATTGCCAAAGCGGAGAGCAGACTGAGATGCGACAGGTGGGCAAGCCTTTGTAGGGTCTTGGAAACAAAAAGAGCAATCGTGAAATTGATTTGTGAGTTGTAGCATGAGCCTAGTAGAGGGCTGAAAAATGGGGAAACGTGGTCATGTTTGCAGATGCAAGAGTGAACGAGGTACAGCAAAAGTGTTTAAGAAACATATGCTTATCAATCTCATTTTGATCAGAAAGGTATGGGAAATGTTTAAGCTATTTTGGCAGAATATATAAATATAACATTATTTAGCCATTGGTACTGTTAACCTCGTGGTTAACTCACGATTTGAATGTCAGTTAAAATTTCAGCAGAGGCTTTATTCAGCCTGTCATCCTTTCTGGGACTCATAAAATGAGTACCACTTTGTGGGAAGTCAGCAGTGCTTGACCTCTGCAGAGACAGGATCCTATTACAGCAGCGGTCCCCAACCTTTTTGGCACCAGGGACCGGTTTCGTGGAAGACAATTTTTTCACGACCGGGGGAGGAGGGTTCATCATTGCGTCTTTCCCCCTTTTCAAAGAAGCTCTCCAACGACGTTTGTTTTTTATTCATTTTGGCTAGTGGGTTAGCTTGTGGGCTTACCAACACTGTGACTGAGACAAGTGCGCAGTGCGGGAAAGAGGCGCGGGCGGAAGTGGTAAATAAAATAATGGGCGGGCCACGCGCGGACTCACCGCTCACCTCCTGCTGTGCGGCCCGGTTCCTAACAGGCCGGGCGTGGTTTTGGCCACCCAACCCCGAGTGTGCTGTGCCAACCTTGATAGGGGCTACTAGCTAACAGTACTTGCCCCAACAGTCAAATGAAGATTAGTCTGTTAAGGCTACACAGGGGATCTTTGTTTTGTATTGTGGTGTGCCGCCCAGTGATGTGTGTGGCGTACGCCGGTATTTAACACGCCGTTAGATTTGGTGCGCGATGTGTGCGTGGGATGGTGTGTCCTGTGCGTGGGGTGCGGTGCGTAGCGCGCAGTGCGGTGGACGTAACGAAGGTGGCGAGGCGAGCGCGTTCCTCCCCTTTCCCTCTCACCTCCATGGACAAGGCCTTCGTCACTGTGCTGGACACGGCACCGATCCTCAACCATGAGCACCTGCATTACAAAGGTGAGGGTTGGGATACACCCAACCTACACCACCTAATCTGGTTAACACACGAGCATTGTATAACTAGACTCGGAGGAGATCGTGAGTTCAACTCCCAACCAGGGATCAACTTGGGCAATGATCCGTTCAGTGGCAGTACGATTAGTATGTCAATTTGTAGAAAGTCAACAGTGGTACAGTACTTTGGAGAGACATTGCTTGTTTTGCTTTGGGAACACCGATAATGTTTTTGACGAGAGTATGTTAACGTTTTGTCTTCTGCACTTCGAGTCGGTGACTCGTAATTTGATGGCATGGTTATTACACAGCCATATTTCTACTCATTTCCAAACTCTGCTCTTGATTTTACATTATTTCTTACACTCCGTAGTTGTGTGCCAGCCTCTGGTTAATAGGGCTTCGCACAGGGCTTGCTTATTTGGGGTGAGATGTGGGGTGACTTTGCTGGCATGGATTTGTCACTCACTGCAGACGGTCTTGGAAGAGTGTTGGCTCAGGATGTGGTGGCAAAAGACAATCTGCCTCCATTTCCTGCTTCCATCAAGGATGGCTATGCTGTCAGAGGTAAGGCACTTCCTGACAAGACCAAGCATTAGGCAAGACAAACACAGATTATGCAGAATATTATGGCCAATTAATGTTTCACTGTATATGCCAACTTTACACTACAAGTAGCAGTAAAAATTGGTTTTCACTCCTGCCGTAATTGGTATTCACATCATACCCCCAAGCGATCAACTTTCAAGTTTGCTAAAAGAGGGCTGTAGCTAGTTATATTTTTTGGGCAGTTTCTTGCATTGTGTTATGTTAGATGCTTTTCGTACATGCGCATACTTTCAAAGACATAATTATATTGTGAACTTACTAGTTATGCAAACATCTCATACAGCCTCAGGTACACCCGAGTGAATTATTGTTAGCTTATAGTAGAGGCATGTCAACTCATGGAATCACAAGTGAATCTGAAATAACACGTTAACATGGATGTAAATTTCCGATATCGACATGCTTCCTGATTGGCCTGCAAATTTGTGTGCAGAGTCGCCCCTTCAAGTTTAGTGTTGTGGAATCTTCTTCCTTTATATGGCTGCTGATGTAGATTGCAGAGCAACAACTACAATTTCACATTTAGGTGGTCAAGTCAGAAGCAGCGGAGTAGTGTATCATCGCCGTGCAGTCTCTCATATTTGTGGATCAGGCGTTGTTTCGTTACATGTTGTACGGTCTTTCTGGATGATCACAGTCTTACACTGTGTGGAATAATACGCATCATGTGTAGGTAAATAACAAGAAATGTGACTCGGTGACATGGAAGTGTCGACACGCTCTCGTCATGCTATGGTTCCAGCATGTTTATCCTGATTTGTTTGGATGTGTGCAAGCTGCTGGACAATTGGTGTTTGCGAGGCTTAATGTGGGTAGTGTGTGCCTGTTAGCTTGTGTGCGTCCTGCTGTCTCTGTTGTCTGTGAGCAGCTGCTGATGGGCCAGGGGATCGCATTGTGATTGGAGAGTCACATGCTGGAAAGCAGGTACCTGCATATTAACCACCACCACACAACTGTTATTGAGCAAACATACCAAGGCATATATTTACATCATGGGACCTCCTTTGCCAGTACCAAAATATGAGAATCGGTTTTCCCCTTTTTTCTGGCAACAAAACAGGTGTTACGATGTTAAAACACCAAACTGAAACCTTTTACAAGGAATCATGTCTGCATTAACCACAATGCTTGTGGTCAGAATGCAAACAAAAAACATACTCTGATAATATATGCATTGTCTTTGAAACTGATTGGTCCACACCAGAGACAGCTTTCTTTTGAGCCTCGTCTCAAACGGTGTTAGACCAGACGACACCAAAAGGTGTGGTTAATGCAGACATTATTCCTTGTAAAAAGTTTCAGTTTGTTTTTTTAATATCTTAACACCTGTTTTTTTGCCAGTAAAAAATGGGAAAAACCTATTCTCATATATTTTTACACATCGCCAAAAATTGCCTCAGTCTTAATGTTAACTGGTATGCTTGTGTTTGGGTGATAATTATTTGTACAGGAGGAAGATTATCATGGGTTCTTGGTGTTATTTTCACTGCAGACAATGGATATAGGTGTTAGTGAGCATAGGGGCCTGGAAATAAAGTATATTTATTCATTGTTTTATCACAGATACATTACCGTGATTATGTGTTCCAATGCATTGAGCCAGTGTACACTCTGATTGTTCTGCTTGTAGTGAGATATGAGACGTATCTTAGCCACAGTGTTGGCTGAGCTGAGGGAATTGGTGTTGACAAACGCGTATAATCTTGCGCCAGCTTCTCTCTCGTGATTTGACGTTGCCATTTAAAGCCCAGTGCAAACGTAGAGATCTTTGTAACATCGCGAGGGAGTGAGATTGCCGACAGAAGCATCGCTCCGTTATCGCTCTGTGCTACTGTATCGAGTGCCAAACATCACTGTAAAGGCATTACCCATTTGAGTTGCCAATGCGACATAAGTGTCTTGAGCTGTTCATCATAAATACACTGAGGAAGTCGTGCAGAAATTACTTGGACATTCTGCATTATGACCGACCACATGTGTTTCGGAATTATTTGCTAAATTATTGTAAATATACTTAAATAAAAAGTAAGTTTCCAAATCCTATTGCGTTGTAATTGACTTATCCTAATTGTTAAATAGCCTTATTGACAGATGAGTCAGAGCTGATGATGATGATGCCCTATCGTGCACCATGCCTTGTCTTCTGACATGCAGCCTTTTCCATAAGGATGTTACATTTTAGAAAGTTGTCACGTAACTTTCATTGCAGATCTAATCTATCCTCAATTCGCTAGGAAACACTCAGGTTGAATTGCTTGTTTAACGAGTGACACTGTAAGGGTTGCTGTGTGTCGACCAGAATTAAGAACGTTCTTTTATGAATCTTTCAGCCTGTGCAGACGGTGATGCCAGGCCAAGTGATGCGAGTAACCACGGGAGCACCCATCCCGTCTGGAGCTGATGCCGTCATCCCAGTGGAAGACACTGAGCTTCTCAAGGAATCGGAAAACGTATGTTATGACCATCACCCCATGGACGCGATAGGCAGGATTGTAAATTTACAATTGATTTAGCATGGTTGGCTATGTACGGTGCGAAAGAAGTTTAACATACATACATACGTGCAGGAATATTGCTTCAGTCTCTTTTCCCTGCAGCAACCCTTGACATGTACCAATTCAGTCACTTAAAACTAAACTTTTTACTTTACCATGTAAGGCCCACTGAGCTATACAGCTCTTTTACAGAAGCAACCTGGACACAAATGATAGCTCAAAGAAGTAGCTTATGGGGAAATTTACAGCAGCCAAATACTCTTCACGCATGTTTCTAAATATGGAGGGAAAACCCAGAGGACCCGGAGAAAAATCAACACACCCGTGGGGAGAATATGCAAAATCCAAATATACAGGCTTCAGGGTTGGGATCGAACCCACTACCTCCAGCATACCAGGCGAAGGAGATGACATCCCGCCACCGCGACACCCTTTTAGCTCCACTCCGTGGCGTATGTCCACTAGGAGTCTCGCTTGACTTCTGTCCAATTTGATGTTATTGTTTTTCGACATCTGGGTCCGTTGACCAGAAATCACTCACAGGCTACAATCGTAAAGGCCCAGGCAAGAAGAATTCCTTAGGGATGAGGAAAAGAGATGGATCAGAAGCATCTGACATTTTTTGCATCTTCTTCTTCATCATCATCATCATCCTCCTCACAGGCTTCAACAGATGAATCCAACTTTTCAGGGAAGGAAGATTATTCTATGTAGGAAAGGGGGGAGTGTTCCTCCAATGGATCTTTGGAGGGGGGCAGCTTTGAGGGCAAAAGGGATTAAGTGGAAATGGGCAGGCCACATAATGATAACTGGGGAGCGATAGGCAAAATTTACTCCATAGTGGTGACTGAGAGAGAGTTAAAGAAGCAGAGGAAGGCCATGGTACTTGCAAAAGCCAATTTGTACCCTTAGGTATGTTCATTGAATAATTTCAAGGATGTTTGGGAGACATTGTGCGTCTCGTTTGAGAATGTTTGTCTACATAACAAATGAAACAACATGGAACAAAGGATAATGTATTTTTTTCCTTTAAACTTTAGCTTATTCTGGCTAGGTCGTATAAAATAAAGAGGTCTTTAAGTGAGAGACAACTATGCAGTACAAGGCAAAGTTGTAAAAATTGTCTCAGTGTGCATGCTCCAGCATTTATTGAGCAAATGCATCAGCCGTTTGCACAGCTGCAGTCTTTATTAGGAAATAAGACTTCTAAGTGGTGTGTTGTTTATGTTGTTGTACTAATCCAGACAATTCTAGAGGGAAATTAGAAGTAGGATATGAAATACAAACAGAACTGGGCTGCATAGCAGAACATTTTGGTGATACAAAACATTTCCCTTGCAATGTATTACATTCTGCATTAAATACTTTATAGTTCAATCACTTTTCCAGAAATAGTTACGGCACAGTGAGTGAAATGTAGTGTAACGCCGAGTGGCTTGGCTGCAACACTTCGTGTAAAGCATTAAACTGTGCCTAGTCTTTGGTCTGAAACACTTACGAAGGTAATTGCAAAAGACAGGTGTAACAATGGTGAATATGGTAATAAAAACGCTTGAGAAGTGCATTTGGCATTTTTATAGTTCTTTGGATATAATTGATGTATTCGTGAGGTGAATCATTAAATTGTATTCTTGGTTCTTTCGGTAAAGTCACGTTGAAGGGAAACAATAAAATAATAAAAATATAAAACAATAAAATTCTCACGACGTTTCGACTGCAACACAATCAATCATCATCAGGTGTGAGAATTGTATTGTTTTATATTTTTATTATTTTATTGTTTCCCTTATACGTGACTTTACCGAAAGAACCAAGAATATGAATCCCTGCAGTCACGAAAGCTTTAAATAATTAAATTGTAGTTATATATTTGTCTCATGTTGAGTTATGCATGTCTATTGCTTGTGGTTTTATATGTTAGGTAAAGTCAGAACTAATTACAGTTAGTGGAGTAAACATTGATCTTGTTTATATTCATATACAACCTGGTGGATCTCTACTGGCTGTGGTGTGCAAGCATACACCAAAAATAATGTACCACCATCAATATAAATGCTGCCTTATAACTTGAAAACATAAAGTAGGCTAAAGCTTCATCCCTTATTTCTATCTACTCTTAAGAGTTGTGTTGTGACCTGTGCGTGTAACTGTGATGTTTATCAGTGTTGTTGCCTTTGTTTATATGGACTTTTGTAAAAAAAAAAGATTTGTAGTGGCAGTCATCAATCATAATGTTCACAATGATGAAATGTAATGCTTAGCAATTGCCATTAATTCACTTTGTGAAAATTAATAGTGCTTGTCCTATGGACAGACTGGCATCTGCCTTATAAATGTGAACTCCTGTTGGGAATTGCCAAAGGATCATGCCATGTAGTGTGGCGATCCTTGGAATCTCCACAAGAATTCCACTCTTTTGAATTGAGACCCAGGAATTGCCATTTGAATGAATGGGGATTCTATCGAACAGATCCTATGGACACTGTTGTCAATGTTCATTTCAGTGGTGGTTCCTGTATCTCCATTCACATGATTGGATATTCTATTGGCCCATCATTAGACTGTATTACCAATCCTACCGGCATTAGTACAAAACCACCCAATACTGTGGGTTGAAGTATTTGGATGGGTGTAGCACCAGCGCTTGTGAGGTGTTGTCGGCATGAGGCTGTGATTTGGCCAGCAAATGGCAGTTTATGCCAGTTGATTTCCATGTATCCAACAATTATGAGTAAAATTGTTTTACACGTGCATCAGGGTTCCTGCCAAAATCTTTCACAACAAAATTGCGAGATTCAAGTACAATGCCTGAAGGCTGGCAATAAATCATGATATTATGAAAAAAATGAAGTTCAAGATTATGCATATCAGAATAATAAAATAAAACGGATTATTTCAATACATTTGCGTCAACGTTAATATAAATTAATGCGGGGTAGGTAGGGCTCTGCTTCTGGCCAAGGGAGATGCGAAGATGTATCATACAATGTTAATGATATTGATGCCTCTTACACCTTGGATTATAACTCTGCCATAAAACAGACGTGTATTTGCCTAACCAAACTGGTATGCAGTGGCTCTTAATAATAGAGCATTTGATTATATCATCCCAGCCACTTATGATTGCACAAAGTGGTATTGCTTAAAATTAGAATTTGCTATTAAATCAGCCCTGAGGATACAACGTTTTGTGGCTGGATGAGATTGTTCACTCGGACGCTGTGAGAAGTCATGCAGTCGCTCAAAATAAATAAGTAGACAGCTATCCATGTCTGCTAAAATATATATTTCAGTACATCAGCCCTTTTCAGACGGACATTATCCAACAGGATTTATTTAAAGCAGCAAGTCAAATCTGGGTTTCGTCAGCCAAGTCGGTGCAGTTAAATTATTATTGCTACGTTACCAGGTGTTGTTGGCAAGAGCACTCGGTCTACACACTGGGGCCCTGTTTAATGCAAAAAAACCTAGATTTTAGAAAATGTTGTTATGCATTGTTGTGGAGCATTATGATTAACAAGATAAAACAATGTCTGTTTGTGTCTCCACGTGAATTCGCTGTGTGGTAATAGGTGCAGATTCCAAATTCTAAGAAAAATGCATGGACAGTAGCTGATATTGGTAGCACGTTTTAAAATGCCTTTTTGTTTGTTTGTAAGCTTTTGTGGGCACACCACCAGATTATTTACAATTTGTGTATAACGCATGTGATGTAATGTGTGCAGCGCAATTGGTCAGAAGCTCTACTTGTACCCATAGGGGAATGTAACAGTATGCATCAGTGACCTCATGAATAAAACATGTTCACACACATACAGTTAATGTGTAAATCCCAAACCACGTAATCTGTGTAAAAGCCTAGCTGGTATATTGCTTTTACCAACCACATGCATTATAAACTAAGGACGTACAAATGAACCTTATGGTGGTTACCCCGGCGTACCATAGTACCCCGGCTCTCGCATAATGTCCGTGGTGCAGTCATTTTTAGTCTGTTGATGGTCGGCGATGCGGCAATCGACCCATCTCGACCAGCTGTACACGATGCACCACCACGGTGCGTGCGAGCATTCAAAGTTTCAGCGCAATCGTCCTCGCTGCGTTTCGACATCGCGGAGTGGCACTGATTTCGGATTGATTGGTACCCCAGTCGCGGAGTGAAGTACACCCCTGGAACTATTGTAGTGTACCAGAAATTAAAATATTTTATTGCCTCGGCCATTTTGTATTATTTGGTACCCCGGGGTACCGCTATAAGGATCATATACAAAAAGCTGGTTGACGTGGAGTAACGTCACGAGCGTTGCACACATACGTTCTTGGGTAATTATAGTAGGTATAGTGTAGTGAGCGTTGCTGTGGAGGCGGTGATTGCCCATTCTTGTGATGAAAATATCAGGTGCGGCCATCTGGAATGCTCTTCCTTCCAATATTAGGAAGCCACTGGAGCTACGCACTTTTAAATCTAAATTGAAAACGAATTTCTTTTGAACTGCTTTTTGTGTTTCATTTGCTTTCCTTCCCCCGCACCTCCGATTAGCATTGTTGGCTACATGGTGCAAAATAAGTTCAACATACATACGGTTGTGCGCTTGACTGCATGTATGGATACTGTCCAGATTCTGCCCCCCCCCCCCCCACCTACGTTATTCCCCCCCTACCCAGCCTCGAACCCAACACCCCCTTAACATCTTCGTCTCCTCCCCTCCCCTCTACCTCACAGAAACTGATGAAGCTGAAAAGAGCATGATTAGCACTTGAGGCAATAGGGTTTAATTAACTGCTGCAAAAATCACGTCTGTGTACAAGTTCCAACCCCCACCCAGTTAATGTGTTAAGACCGAGAATCTTCTATACTCGTAAAAGGGGATAAAATGCGTTGCTTAATCTTAATGCCCACATACATATCCGGAGTTATTTGACTCGAGTGATGATTCGTATTGCACTTCAACAACTGTGCACGATGTATTTGAGCGCATTTTTGTGGGATCATGGCACTTACATTCATGGGCAGTTTTTTTTTAGAAGTGCAGGGAGAAAGTAATGTCAGTGCTGCAATGTAAATGCGATGTGCCGTTTAATCTTACGCTCTGCCTTTTACCACTAAAAGGGAAGTTGAAAGGTGCAGGACAAAAGTATCGGTGGCCCAGTGGTAGAGTGAGCAGCTCGCAATCGGAAGGTTGTGGTTTCACATCCTGGTTTGGGAATTTACTAAGTCCATCCTAATGAGGTTTGACTGTCCTAATGTATCAACTCACCCTTGCCACAGGAAGGTAGAATTTCCACCACTGACTCAGGGCTGTTAGCAGGAGATGAGCACCACTTGAATCCTTATTTAGAACAGGAAATCCCTTTTGACATATTTAAAAACTAAATTTAATTACTTTATTTGAACTTACAGTGAGGGTCAAAAGTATTTGATCCCCTGCTGATTTTGTACATTTGCCCTCTGACAAAGAAATGGTCAGTCTATAATTTTCATGGTAGGTTTATTTGAACAGTGAGAGACAGAATAACAACAAGAAAATCCAGAAAAACACATGTCAAAAATGTTATAAATTGATTTGCATTTTAATGAGGGAAATAAGTATTTGACCCCCTCTCAATCATAAAGATTTCTGGCTCCCAGGTGTCTTTTATACAGGTAACGAGCTGAGATTAGGAGCACACTCTTAAAGGAGTGCTCCTAATCTCAGCTTGTTACCTGTATAAAAGACACCTGTCCACAGACGCAATCAATCAGATTCCAAACTCTCCACCATGGCCAAGACCAAAGAGCTCTCCAAGGATGTCAGGGACAAGATTGTAGACCTACACAAGGCTGGAATGGGCTACAAGACCATTTCCAAGCAGCTTGGTGAGAAGGTGACAACAGTTGGTGCGATTATTCGCAAATGGAAGAAACACAAATAACTGTCAATCTCCCTCGGCCTGGGGCTCCATGCAAGATCTCACCTCGTGGAGTTGCAATGATCATTGGAACGGTGAGGAATCGGCCCAGAACTACACGGGAGGATCTTGTCTATGATCTCAAGGCAGCTGGGACCATAGTCACCAAGAAAACAATTGGTAACACACTACGCCGTGAAGGACTGAAATCCTGCAGCGCCCGCAAGGTCCCCCTGCTCAAGAAAGCACATATACATGCCCGTCTGAAGTTTGCCAATGAACATCTGAATGATTCAGAGGACAACTGGGTGAAAGTGTTGTGGTCAGATGAGACCAAAAATGGAGCTCTTTGGCATCAACTCAACTCGCCGTGTTTGGAGGAGGAGGAATGCTGCCTATGACCCCAAGAACACCATCTCCACCGTCAAACATGGAGGTGGAAACATTATGCTTTGGGGGTGTTCTAGATTTGAAGCTTTCGTGACTGCAAGGATTCATACTCTTTGATTTTATTCGGTAAAGTCACGTAGATAAAATAAAAGAAAACAATTGTTTTATTTTATTTTGTTTTATTTCATTATTTTATTGTTTTTTATTTTACCTATGTGACTTTACCGAATAAAACCAAAGAGTTTGGGGGTGTTTTTCTGCTAAGGGGACAGGACAACTTCACCGCATCAAAGGGACAATTGACAGGGCCATGTACCGTCAAATCTTGGGTGAGAACCTCCTTCCCTCAGCCAGGGCATTGAAAATGGGTCGTGGATGGGTATTCCAGCATGACAATGACCCAAAACACACGGCCAAGGCAACAAAGGAGTGGCTCAAGAAGAAGCACATTAAGGTCCTGGAGTGGCCTAGCCAGTCTCCAGACCTTAATCCCATAGAAAATCTGTGGAGGGAGCTGAAGGTTCGAGTTGCCAAACGTCAGCCTCGAAACCTTAATGACTTGGAGAAGATCTGCAAAGAGGAATGGAACAAAATCCCTCCTGAGATGTGTGCAAACCTGGTGGCCAACTACAAGAAACGTCTGACCTCTGTGATTTCCAACAATGGTTTTGCCACCAAGCACTAAGTAATGTTTTGCAGAGGGGTCAAATACTTATTTCCTTCATTAAAATGCAAATCAATTTATAACATTTTTGACATGCGTTTTTCCGGATTTTGTTGTTGTTATTCTCTCTCACTGTTCAAATAAACCTACCATTAAAATTATAGACTGATCATTTCTTTGTCAGTGGGCAAACGTACAAAATCAGCAGGGGATCAAATACTTTTTTCCCTCGCTGTACGTCTGCGTAAAAAATACGTACAGTAAAACTTTGGATTGTGAGCATAATTTGTTCCGGAAACGTGTTTGTAATCAAAAGCACTCGTATATTAAAGCGAATTTCCCCATAAGAAATAATGGAAACTCAGATGATTCGTTTCACGACCCAAAAATATTTATATAAAAATGATTAATACAAAATACCTTTTTATATTTTTATTATTTACATTTAATATGAAGTAATCAAATTAATTAATTAAATGTAATCGTGGCTGGTGTGAGGGAGACGAGAGGAGGAGGGGCCATTGTTGCAGTACAGTTACTAAAGAACAGTCACTACACTTGGACACAAAATTAAAAAAAAAATGCTTTACGCACACACACGTGGTCACAACACTATAGTACTGTAGTAAACAGTATACACGTGGTCACAACACTTTGGTAAACAGTATACACGTGGTCACAACACTATAGTACTGTAGTAAACAGTATACACGTGGTCACAACACTGTAGTAAATAGTATACACGTGGTCACAACACTATAGTAATGTAGTAAACAGTATACACGTGGTCACAACACTATAGTACTGTAGTAAACAGTATACACGTGGTCACAACACTATAGTACTGTAGTAAACAGTATACGTTCGCACGGATGTTTACTATACGAGTGAGGCACGCCGACTGAGACCGAGCATGGGAGACGATTACCCACAATCCCGCAGCGAGAGAGAGAAGAACCATCGGCTCAGTTGTGATCACGTGACGCTCGGCAGACAAAGCGTATACGTACTACTCGTATTGCAAGACCTCGCTCGTTTATCAAATTAATATTTATTTTAAAAAATTGCTCGTCTTGCAAAACACTCGCAGACCAAGTTACTCGCAATCCAAGGTTTTACTGTATTATTCTCAAAGTGCTTATAAATAATAACATGACGATGCTTTATAACTTTTAAAATTGGCTTGTAAGTTTTATTCTGCAATTGAATGTGCAAATATGTGCTTTTGCTATAGTGTTATTGTAGGGTTGTCATTGATCTGTTGTTTGCCTGTCATGTATTTCACTGGTGACAGCTACCGTGGATTTCTTGCTTTGCTCACACAGGGAGCAGAGGAGCTCGAGGTGCGGATCCTGTCCCAGGCACGGCCAGGACAGGACATACGGTGAGGACTGGAGGCCTCACATTGTTGACGTCGTTATTCTGTCAGAATTTTCCAATTGTCATAACAGTGACTAACATTAGTCGAAGGCTGGTAATAGGCCAATATATAGAGATGCAGGATGGAAGTTGATATATTTATTAATGTCATCAAGTTTTTGCTTAATTCTAACGTGACTTGGCTTGTTTTTTTGCAATAATTGAAATAATGAGTTTAGATCCCATTATATATTGTAACATTTACATTAATGAAATATTGCACTGCTTGTGAAAATGTACCCATTGTTTTTTACGTGCTCCCACATGCATTTGTACTCAAGCTTCCAGTCTGAATTAAGTACCACTTCATTGGAAGTCAACAGTGCTTGTCCATTTGATAAACTGACCCCACCATAGTAATGGGGATTAGCATTGCCTCAACGCTTGAGCCTGTAGATGGTTTGACTCGGCATTATTCACACATCGAATTACTTTATTCTCAAGCGTGCATTTGTATGGACAGGTGCATTGGACAGGACATCCGGCGTGGCGAGTGTGTGCTGTCACGCGGCTCGCACGTGGGGCCTGCAGAAGTGGGCCTGCTGGCCACTGTGGGGGCGACCAAAGTGGAGGTGCACCGGCTGCCTGTGGTGGCTGTGCTGTCCACTGGCAATGAGGTAACACATCACAGTACTCGGTGTGCACACAGCATGTCCTCTCTGTGTCAACCTTTGAGTGTTATCCTCTCGTATGCATTTGGTTTCTTCAGCAACTCCAGTTTTCCCTCTCGATGCAAAAACATGAGCGGAATTGACCAACCATCCCGACGCAAGACATTCCTGATATCGTCTTGAGTAATTCCGCAGCACAACCCTGAGCCGTGTCAACGGGCAGGGTGACAATCTGGAAGGTGCCCAGGATGGGTGCCATGTAAACACAATTCCAAAAGCAGACTAATAGCAATGTCAGCCCAAACAGAGCAGAGGCCATTTCACTTGTACAACATACACAGAGACAAAGAGCTCCTGTTTATACACTTTAATTCTGATGCTGCTAGCAAACTCCTATTGAGACCATTGAGAGTATAGTGTGGCCAGACACAACCACAGCTCCTTTTGCTCTGGTTTTATTTGTTGAGTTGTTGAAACACTTTCAGGAAAGTATGTTACAAAGCATTAGCAGTGGAGGTCTAAATCGCTGAGATGCCAGTAATTTAGGGGTGTACATGACCAGAAATCAAACCTTTATCAATATAGATCGGCTGATGCATACAGGTCCTTTGGACATTCCGAAATGGATATTCTTTCATCATTTTATGTTTTATGACTTGTAGGATTCACCATGAGTACATGGGTACAAACTGACTGTGCTTATCTATAAATAAGTGGAACAGCTGCAATGGTCATTTGTCAGATTTGGAAAAGACAATTACAAAAATAGATCAACAATGATAAGTCAATCTTGGTCATAATTTCAAGAATGTTTGCTGCTCTGGATCAACAACATGGTTTTGTAAAAATCTCTCCCACTTTGTTTCAGGAAATTAATTGTGATGCAGGCCACCCCACATTTTATGTTAATATTGGGTGTGCATGTGCTGTAGTGTAGCGGTTGGCGTTCTGTATGTGTATGTTGAGCTTCTTTCGCACCGTACGTAGCCAACCGTGCTAATCGGAGGTTCGGGGAAGGACGACAAACTAAAAACAAAAAGCAGCTCTAAAGAAATTAGTTTTCAATCTAGATTTAAAGTGCATAGCTCCAGTGGCTTCCTAATATCGGAAGAGCATTCCAGACGGCCGCAGAAGTGCATCTGAAAGTGCGCGATGCGGTAACTGCTAAGTGTTGTTCTTTGGGTCTTTCGGTAAAGTCACGTAGATAGGTTCAAAGAAAATAACAAAATAACAAAAAGCTATAACGTTTCGATCGCAACACAAGCGGTCGTCATGTGATGCATTCAACACAAGCGGTCGTCATCAGGACGACCGCTTGTGTTGCGATCAAAACTTCGTAGTTTTTTGTTATTTTGTTATTTTCTTTGAACCTATCTACGTGACTTTATCGAAAGACCCAAAGAATATGAATTCCTGCTGTCACGAAAGCTCTAAGTCAAGATGCTAAGTGATGATTATCCGAACTGGTTTTGAGCCTCCCCTAGATCGCCTCAGCCTCAAATGAGTACCTGGAGTGGTGTGTAAACATCGCCGCTGGGGAGAAATAAAGGCGGCGGGCGTGGTGCTGGCCACCCACCCCTTCATGTACCGTGCCGACCTTCATAGCTGCTCGCCACCAGCACTTGCCCTCACAGTCTGTTGAGGCTAACAGGGGCATCTTTGTCTTGTGTGCTGTCCTACAGCTTCTGAATCCAGAGGAGCCCCTTCATCCAGGCATGATCCGAGATAGCAACCGTACCACATTGCTGGCGGCCATCCAAGAGCAGGGCTTCCCGACCATCGACATGGGCATCGTGCGAGACCAGTACGATCACACCCACGTTAGTGCGCACGGGCACCCACACGTGTGCACTCGGCCACGCCTCCCTCGCGCACGCGGCCGCTTCGCCCGCCACTCCACTACCACTGAGGCTCATGGCTTCCTTCTTCGTCGTGTCAACGCTAGTCACAACAAATGTTGATCGCTAATGTCGCACACACTTAAACCCCCAATGTCTAGAGAACTGATCAGTGACAGGGTCCGTCATGCGCCAGACTGCAGATGCGTTGACAGTTATTGGTACCCTTTTGCTCCAAGCATGTGTATACACTCACCAGAACGTGCATCTTATCAGAAGTTGTTTGAAAGTACAGGGATATGCTTGCTGGATAATTTGAATGAGTATTCGTACTTGGAAAGCAGATGACACTGGTTATGGATGTAGTCTATATGAAACTGTGCCAACATTTCTGAATATTCAAATGAGCATGAAGTGGTGCTCATCTCTCCTGGTTGGTCCTGAGCCATTGGCAGTAACTTTAGAATTGCTATAATGGGGACTAAGGGTGGAACGCTGATTTTAGTGCACTGCGCCGTGCACCCATCCACTCGAGTTCACTTCACAGCAGTCATTGATATATTTGGTGAATGAAACGAGAACAAGTTCCGTGTAACCCTCCCTTCGCCATCCTGCACTGACCAGTGGGATGAAGTATAGTCAACCCCCATGACTGATGTGGCGTGGGGAGGCCTTCATCCATGGACATTAAAATAGAGTTCTAGGTCGTAATGGGGACCAACCATCTGGGCAATGATGGCTCTTGCATGTTTTTGGTGGATTGTACAGTAATCCCCTGTTTAACCTATTAGATGCGTTCCAGAATAGTGCCGCATTAAGCAAAATCGCGTAATGCGAGGAATTGCTTTACTCAATCACACTTGCGCCATAAAATCAGCCTGCAGTCATCCCGTGTCGGGACAAAAGATTTGAGATGAGGCTACGCCGGCGTGCTGTATCACTGCCCAGACTGTGTTATACCGCTTAGCTACACAGCTCGGGAAAGCCGTTCGATTCGACCACTCAGAAACCGCGTTATAGCGGCATTCGTTCCGTGTTGTGCAAAAATAGTTCTCAAATAGAAGAACTGCTTTATAGCGAAAACGCGTTGTATAAAAACAGGTTAAGTGATGACTTACCTTTTAGATTTATGAAACTTTCACACCTGCTGGCTGTGAGGTGACCAGGAGATGGCAGTATAGTAAGCACAATTGTTGCCCTGTACTTGTGCATCTTTGAGTGCTATCCTCTCCTATGGATTGGTTTTCTTCGGGTACTGAAGTTTCCTACTCGATGCAATTCATGAGTAGAAGTGACCAGCTATCCAAATTCTGGACTTTTCTACCTTCCTGATATCGTCTTGAGTGGCTCTGCCGCCCAACACGGAGCTGTGTTAACTGGCAGGGTGAAAACTGGAAGGTGCAAAATGGTCATTAGCTTTGAGGTGTCAGTGTGTCTCATGAGGTAATAATCAGGATGATTTGATATGTCTGGGACCTTAAAGGAGTGAAAGCAAGTGACATTCGTCACCAGCCTTGTTCTAGCCTTGCACCGAGGTGGCGATGTTAACTACCTCGCCTGTATTACAAGAGCGTGTGGGTTCGATCCCGACCCTGATGCCTGTATATTTGGAGTTTGTTTGCTCTTTCCGTGGTCGCGTTTTTTTTCTTCAGGTTCTTCGTTTTTTCCCTTCACTTTTAGAATCAACATCACGCGTTTAGAGTGTTTGGTTGCTATAAATTTACACGTGATAAGCCATTTTGTTGAGCTATCATCTGTGGCCAGGGTGCTTCTTAAAAAGAGCTGCATAGCTCAGTGGGCCTTACCTGGTAAAATAAAAAATGGTTTATAGTTTAGTTTACTCACCGCTATATGGAGGCTTCTCTACGCCGTCATCATCCCACATGGTCCTGTGATGCTGCAATCCATCTCGCTCCTGCACGAGCTACACGCATAGCTCAATCTCCATGGTCATTGTCTTTTAGGGGAGTGTTGCGCAACCAGTGTGCCGTAGCAGGAGTCGTCCCAGGTGTGCTGTGGTATTTTCCGAATTCTGTGAAAGGAAAACCTCGGTCAGGCAAACTCTCCGTTATTTGGCTGATCCAGCTCTCCACCTCCCACCCTCCCCGCTCTCCATTGGTACACAGCTGTAAGACCCCACCCCCCGGTCCGCTCGACTCTCTTGGTCGTGCGTGCGCAGTTGGGGCAAACGGCTAACCCGGGAGCCCATAGTGATTGTTTTTGGTTCGGTGTACCGGGAAGAGCGACCAAGTTTTGAAATGTGTGTCATGAAATGAAGGAGGTTGAGAAGCACTGCTCTAGGACATCTGCTTTGGATGCCATTTCATCACCAGTCTCGTCCATCGGCCGTCATCCCCTCCATTTATATGTCTGCCCCAAGCCCACTTACTTTTGTTAACAGTTGGTATAATATCTCTGACCTGTGCTTTTTTTCCTGATACGTATGTTTCTCATTTTCTCTCGCAAGTTAATTGTATGCATGCGTCTATCCTTGGTCTTTGCATAGTTGTCAGCTTTTGTTCTATTTTTCACTCTTCATGTTACTGATGCATATGACAGTGCACAATGTACACGGATTGAAAACTTTATTTTCGCACACATTGGAATGCTGTTCATTATCTAGCTCGGTTTTTTAAAAGCACGAAATCCTGCTCTCATTTGCCTCTGTTTTATCATTCCATCCCAATCTGCCTTCAATAATTGCCCGAGGTCCAGTAAAATCTTTTGAAGCGGGTAACAGTTTAGGCAAAATGTAGGGTGTTTTGGGAAGACTCTCCCTAAAGTGAAACAAAAAAATTTTGCAAATCAAATCCAGCCAGAACACTGTTTGCATACTAATTAATCTGTGTGCCAAAGGTTACAGTGTTGAGGTAATTGTTTTTTTTCTGTTAATAAACATGGTTAATTAAAAAAATGTGTAATGTATTTATAAAATGTATGTCCAAAACGAATCGCCACCACACGGTAGACTGAGTCGTGCTCTGCCAGAGGCAATTCTGCGGTGGAAAGGCCACGGTACCATGAGGGGAAGAGTTATCTCTTCATGGTTTTCCACTAAGTGACACTAATTGTATTGTCTCTGAATGAATTACTGAATCAACCCACCCCCAGCCAGGATTTTTACACGTGCTTTTCCAATTGTAATGTGTAATTCACTATTTGCTGGCATCCCCCTTAAACTGTTACGTCGCCTTCAACATGTGCAGAATACGGTTGCCAGAATTCTTATGTGCACGCCTGTTGCTGAATGTACAACCCCTGCCCTATGCATATCTCTATTGGCTGCTGGTCCAGTTTTGTGTAGAGTTCAGGATTCTCCTCACCTACAAGGCCCTCAATAATGCTGCTCCCTCACATATACGAGACTTCCTTCGCCCATATGATCCAACAAGAGTACTTCGCTCATCTGAGTCTGGCCCGCTGTGTCTGTGCCAAGGTCATGTCTCTGTACAACGATGATGGGTCACCGGGCTTTTTCTCATGTGGCCCCCAGGTTATGGACTGCACTTCTATTGAACATTCGGTTTATTCAAATCCTCCTTAAAACGTGGTGTCAGCCTGCATGGTTTTGCTTTCTTGCTGCTCTATACAGCACCTTCTTACCTCCTGGTGAAAGACACTTTAGAAGTGTAAATTGTTACTTTTAAGTTGAATACTTGGGTGACACCCAGCTAGATTTTTAGTGCATTTTAAATGCAGTGCAGTGTGATGTGTATAATGTGTGTGAGGATGGTTGTATGTGGTGTGTGTGTCTGTATTTGTGTTATGCATTTGCTCCGCAGCCCGGACGATTTGCTACAAGCGTTTCAAGAAGCTCTCGCGCAGGCGGATGTCATCGTCACATCGGGAGGAGTTTCCATGGGGGAGAAGGTGGGCTCGCCAGGGAGGGCCTGAACCTCCGGGAACCTCGCAGTGGGTGCAAAGGAATCTAGAGACGTGTGGCTGTCAGCTACTGGGGATGTTTTGTTTGACGCTCAGGGTGAATTGTGTGAGGAGGAGGGATTAGAACGTGGTTGAAAGGAAGTACATTCTTCTGCAGGTGTTTCAAAATACATTATGCGTGATTGATGAGGTCTACTTGCATGGAAAATTTGCATACCTATTTCCGAGTTCAGAATGACTCGTTCCATCTGGTCTAATAGCTCTGTCGTGAATATTATCATTTGTTTGAACATTCTTTTTCTGGTAAACATAATTGCTTCTCTTTGTAATTATGTCATGGGGTAACACACTACAAATCATTACCTCTTGATCATTGAACACCTGTCACCATAGTTAACTAGGAATAGCGAATTATGTTTTAAAATTTGTATCTGTACTCCTTATACTTTTGTAAAGATGTTTATTATCTGCATGTCCATTCTAGTTCTATACTCTTCATTAATATTTTTTGTTAATTCCTCTGTCCAATACGAACTATGTTTAATGTCGCCTTAGTTCTGCTCTTCATAACTACATTTGTATAGAAACTCCCATCATTACGACAGTGTTTTGTCTGTTAAAAGACTATTCCTCCCTTAAATAATTACACCTACTTCTAAAACTACATTTATTTTTATACTCTTTGGTTCTTTCGATAAAGTCACGTAGGTATAAAATATATATTTTAAAAAAATTGCAATCACGACGTTTCGATTGCAACACAAGCAATCATTATCAGGTGTGAAAAAAACGACAACATTATTTTTTTTAGCTGAAGTGGGAGATGCTGTGGTAAGAGGTTATATTAAGTAAGAGAGGGGGGAGGAGCAAAGGATGGGAGGAGTAGGGCGAGGGTGCCACCCTCACCCTACGTTACCGAAAGAACCAAAGAGTATGGATCCCTGCAGTCACGAAAACTTCAAATCTAGAATACATTTATTTTTGTTGGGGCATATGCATGTATGTTGAGTAGATTTTACTCCTAGTTTGTTGACTTATTCCGAGTAAAAGGAAAATTAAATGATACGTTCTCACAAGAATACTGGATGACCGTGGCAATCTGGCCATCTCATATCTGGTGTGTCTGCTTAAGTTCCTATCGTAGAGCGTAAAACATGAACGCGAGCCGTCGTACACGAGGCCTTTAAAAAAAACTGGCAAGCAATCCCCGCCTGGTGCAGTGTCCCAAAAGTAGTTAATTTGTTGGCCGCAAGATGCCCTTACCCCGAGGAGTTTCCCGAGAGACGACAGTGGGGAGGTCTTCATTCGTCTATCTTAGAATTTAAAGCAAAACCACGTAAAACGTGTTTGTAAAGTTACGTGGCGCTCTGTAATGTTGCAGGACTATCTGAAGCAGGTTCTAACCGTCGATCTACAGGCGCAGATTCACTTTGGCCGTGTATTCATGAAGCCAGGGTGAGTGCCACCATGCTGGTTGTCAACCTCTCAGGCACACAAGGCACGTCAGTCTGTCGTCTTACACTCGTCATTGGTCTCCACTGAGAGTTGTTTGTTGTCCTCCTGCATCTCCGATTGCACGGTTGGCTACATACGTTGCAAAAGAACATACATACAAAGGGTGTGATTCCTGTGGGGATCTTACGTCACTGCATGTTTATTGATATGCCTGTACTGTGCATTTTTGTGTATTCTTTACTGAGTGTTAAAATTAAAACAAACGAACAAACGATTATTTTTTATCATAGGTTTATTGTTGTAGTGAAATCGCATTAGAACATGTGTGGGGGAACCCTATATTGACCGACTTAATAATGAAAATACTTGAATCTGAATTGAAAATTAAAATTCAAGAACATACGACAACAATAAGAAACAACAGAAATCTCTGTTGCCTGTGGTTGTCATCTGTTTATCTATTTTAAACCTTTCAAACATACAGACTAAATTATATAATAGCTTCACCTTGGCTTGATCACTACTCTGAGAAATACAATTTGGTCCGCAGAGCACTAGAAAACTGCTATTACGTCTTAAAACCGCAAAGTGAAGTGCCTGTGTGTTACAAACGGTGCGGCTGAATGAGTGTTCCGTTATCTTTGGCTCCTGCAGACTTCCCACTACCTTCGCGACTGCGGCAGTCAACGGCATCAAGAAAATGATTTTTGCACTTCCGGGTAAGCCAGAATTTTAGGATACATTTTGGTTTTGATGCTGCTGTGGGTTTGCTCATGATGTGTGTGTATCCCCGTGCATGTGTACGTGTGTACCCAGCTTTGTTACATATTTGAGATGCGTTTATGTTCACGATTATAAATACAAACTGCATAATTCCCCCACATACTGACAAATAGGAACTAAAAATATATACGCATACACAAGTTGAGCATCGAGATTGCAATGCCCTTGAGTGAAACTGCATTGTCTTTTTATTATTATCATCATCCGGCTCCACCAATAACACGCTGCTGCCGTATTTAATAATATTCTCAAAAGTGTGTGGTTTCATCATTGTTAACACTGTGGCATTGTCATAGCCCCCCTTCAGTCACTCTCCCACACATGAGTCTATCGTGTAGTGGTGGGTCAAGTGTGCACCGGTGTTGAAGGCATCGGTGCAGTGATGGACAACTAAACAGTCCCACAGAGAGTTAAAGACACTCTCCAATCATACCTTAACAGGTCAACGAAAATCGTCTCGAAAATATCTACTTCCTTCAGGATGTCACAATGGGCTTTTGCCTGCTTGTGAATATAGCTTTCACACGCAGATTGCCGGCAATAACTGTTATTGGATAATTGAATCCAACTTTCCCTTTTACACTTCTTCACCCTCTACTCACCACCCACCATTATCTTTCTGTGCTCTGCCATCTGTCACTTCTTTCCCAACAGGAAACCCGGTCTCTGCCATCGTCACTTGCCACCTGTTTGTTATCCCTGCCTTGCGCAAGATGCAGGGCACAGCCGATCCCCGACCCACCATTCTCAAGGCCAGGGTAAAGAGGAACACCGTGATGTTGCTGAAATCTCACACACACACACGGCAATCTCAGCTGTCAAGTGGTGGTAACATCTTGTTGCTTATGCATAGCCTTGTGCACTTTGAGGCCATGGTGAGTGCAGTTGACTTTCAGGCAGGAGGTCACAGGACAGTCCCACAGGTATTATGATTGAATAGAACAGGCGAATTGGCAGATGCTGTAGTTGCATCCATTGTGAGTGTTGCTTCCATATTTTCTTGGAAGGCAGTGGCCAACAACAACAATATCTTTCAAGAGTCTCCTCCTGAGAAACCAGCCATGAGAAAAGAAACACAGATAAAGATTTATTTGGGCAGGTGCTGTTAGCGAGCACCTATGAAGGTCGATACGGCACATGAGGGGGTGGCTAGCACTACTCCCAGCTGCCTTTGTTTCCCCAGTGGTGATATTTACACACCGCACCAGGTCAACCGAGAGCAGGCCCATGACCAGTTCATATAATTGCCACTGGTGTTGGCCGTGAGCGGGAATTGAACTCGGGTCTCTGGGTTCGTAGCGCGAAATTCTGCAACACCGCTCTCCTGCTGTCCCATGAAAACAAACACAAAACACAGATCCAAACATATGTTCTCATACACATATAGCACAGGCATAATAAACACACCAAAACAGATTCACGATGACAGTACCACAACACAATATAGTAGGGAACAACACAAAACAAACGAATATGAATCTGGCTACCTGAGTAAAATTCCTGGCCATGGCTAACCGCAGTGGTGAGCGATATCGCAATTAGTCCTGGGTGCTCCCAACCCCTTCATTAACCTACACTGACCAGCATGGTGAAGTATGGTCAAATAACTATATTGACTGACATGGCAAGAGGGCCTTCATACAGCAGTGGATTTATAGAGAGGTGAATTTTTATTTTACTTTTTAATAAAGTGTTATGCTTATAAAGAATCATAATAATGAAATATATGTATTGCTGCTTGTGATGTGTGTTCTTGTAAAATGGCAGGTTTTTATTGTGTTTCTCTACAAACGAACACGGTTCCGCAAAGGCAAACACAGCATTATATTTGTGCTCATTCATTCTCTATATCTGGATGAAAGGACATTGAACCAACGTTTCTTCTTTTCTAAAATAGACTCGTCTCTTCCAGATGTGTTATTGAAATAATGAGATAAATCATTATTATTATTATTGTGTTGGTTTTATATATGTATGGGTGTCTTATTGAATGTCTCCATTAAATCTGAGCCCTGGTTGTCCCAGATTTCCATGACTCCGATGTTGGGTGGTGCGCAGGCCACTGATGTAAGGAAAGATTATTTCTGGGCAGTCGTTTTTGGTTTCGTGGGTTCAATTCCCCACTGGACTGTCTGTTGGCTTTTCTTTTTCACTTATGGTGTCATTAAAGTGGTGCCATTGAAGAGCACTTGATTTAGTTCAAATTTTAGTTTCATGGGATTGGCTCGGCTCATCATACCTTCAGGGATGATAAAATTACCATAATTTGGGATGCCAGCAGTCGTTGCCAAGATAGTTGAGCATTGCTCTATGCTGTCTAGAATAGGGAAGCATGTTTACTCCAATGTAAACTCTTTTCTGGGAAAATGTACTTCAGAAACCTGGGAATGCTATGCTCTGAGAATGGTCTGTGTTTTTTTTTTATCAACAGGAGATAGTTAATCACATTTAATACAGTTTTCTACTTAAAGCTGCATATTGATATTTAGCTTTTATACTATGTAGCTATAATGAAAACAAATGTAGCGTGATATTACAGGTTCGTCGCTTTTTAGTCTTTTGTTACGGTACCTTATTTACTAAATAATGTTTTGATTGATAATGGTCCATGCACGTAAACTGTTATTCGGCACAACATCTGCTCGTCTAGCGTCTGCGCAATTGTAAAAGGCTTCGTGTTTAGATTGCAACTTTTGCGTATTGCAGTTGTGATCGGATAGAAATTGATTTTGCATAAATATTGCACTTGTGCCAGTCACTCCATAACATCAGTGTATGTCTCGTGACCTCTTACCAGTGAGCCTTCGCTACTTTGCAGCTTTAAAGTGCAGCTTGCCTGGCACAATAAGTGTGGTGGTGTCATTGAAATCAGCTGCAAATGACAGCCGTTGTTTTATTGTGCTTGGGCTTTTTAGGAGCGCTTGTGTATGTTAGATCTCTGATTGTGCTGGAACCAATGGTGTGCACACTGCACCGCGATACCAGTGATATGGATTCAATTATTCGACCATGCACGACAGTAACTCTTAGCATTTTAATCAGGCGTGAGGTTTCCCTTAGATTCCTTATGGATAGAGCCTTGCACATAGAGTCTCATCTCACAGTGGCAATACCGATGATCACTCACGTCGCCTGGTATGAAGGAGGTCTTGAGTTAGATCCCGACCCTGACGTCTGCTGCATATTTGGAGTTTGCGTGTCTCTCTCCCCGTGGTCGCATGGATTTTTGTCCGGGTCCTCCGGTTTTTCCTTCCACATTTGTAAACTTGAGTTTCAAGTATTTGGCTGCTATAGATTGCCACGTGATAAGTCACTTCGTTGAGCTATCATTTGTGGCCAGATTGCTTCTGAAAAATTGCTAAATAGCTCAGTGGGCCTTAGCTGGTAACATGTAAATAAATAAATAGATGTGCCGTACGTGAGAATCTTTTCTTCTCGCGTAGTGAACACAGTCCTCCGCCTCGCTGCTGCTCACACACCTCGCCAAGTTTGTCAGGTCGTCTCCCACCTCCCCCCTCTGGTTTCACGCCACCGATAGTCAATGTCACCTATTACCACTCAAACACAATGCCCATCTTAGAACTCTAGAGACTTGATTGCGTGTACTTGTGTACACGCCGTTATTGCTGTGATTTTGTAGACTTATTTATATCCAGTGTGCACATTATATTTTTGTGTTTGCATATCCGTGCCTGCTTCATCCTCCCATCGATGAAAATGTGCACTTCTGTGCATGTTTTTGGCTGCAGCTGTCGTTTGATGTGAAGTTGGACTCCCGACCTGAGTACTACCGCTGCGTGCTCATGTGGAACCACCAGGAGCCTCTTCCGTGGGCACAGAGTACAGGTGAGCAGCACACATTCACGTGTATACAATAGTAATTCATTACAATGCATAGAAATGTTTAATAAACTTACCAAAGGTACGTGTCCGCGAGATGTCTTGTAGAGCTCACTATATTACAGGCATCATTGTCCCTAGAACCAGGTAATTTGGTGTCAACAGAGTGGAGGACGGGAGAGACATTTTGTTATCTTTACTTTTTAATTAACGTGGATTTGAATGCGTAAAAAAGTGGTGCGAGTTACAGAATTGCTCAGAAATATGAATTAGGGGCACCTTTCACAACAGATAATAGGAATTAATCTGAATTCCATCCTCTGTAACGACCACAACCCTCATATCAATAAGTACCCAACTATGTTGATAATTTTCCATAACCACTGACAACCGGACTTGGTGGCCCAGGAATGGCCCATGTGCATTTCAGGATCAGCATCACATCCAGATCCACTTGCCCATACTTGATGAACCATGAGGCTATGTGGGCTCAGCCGCTCATGATCGATCCTCCTCCCTCACCAATTCCTTACTGTCTATAGCCAGAGGGAAACACTCTTACATACAAAATCTTTGAAATTCACAAATAATTCTGACTTTGAAGTTAAACGAAGCGAGAAACAGCATTGACCATGTGCGCTGTTCCATGTTCGACCCTGTGAACGTTGAGTGATTCTGAGGTCAGCCCAGATAAGCCCATGTGGCTGCCTTATGACGGTGAGCTATCACAAACCCTCTTGCCAAGCCTACTTGGTGTGACGTTCGCCAGGTAAACCTGCCGTGGGAACGCAGGCCAGCCTGTTGAGCCCAATTTCACGAACTGAGCCAGCTCGCTTCCCAGTGGCCGTGAACACATTGCCTACATTATCATATATAAGGCTCCTGCCTCCTGGCTGTGGAGAGCAGACAGGAGACAGAGGGCATACAGCAGCATCACAAGCCTTGCCGCAGACAGGCTGCTGTGAGTGAAGTAAATTCAACTGTGCGTGACCTCGGGACAGAATTTCTAACATCTTAATATTTATATGATTACCAGTTTTCACAGCTCAATGTTTAAATGATGTCTGTGCAATAATGCTGATTCTTGAGACAATCAACAACTCATTGATCGATATTTAAACTATTTAATTTTTTATGGTTGAATATCCGTAAAATAATTTCCTCTTTTTTGGTGGAGTGGTGATAAAGTGCTTCATGCACTGCACGATGAAGCCAGCAACCTGAAGTCATTTCCCACCCACGGATAACAGAATGGGAAGCCCTTCATTTAGCAGTGGATTGACAAAGCGCATCCTGCCTTTGTGGTCAATAATAGCATGTGCTTATCCAGGAACACATAGCCAGTGAACTCAAGCACGTACACCAAGCTCTTAAGGCTAATGGTTACTCCGACTACACAATCCGCAAAGCTATCACTCCAACCATGAAGAAGGACCCTCTTGAGGAGCCTTTCAAAAACCATCACTTTGCCCTACATTGCGGGGATCACAAAAAAGATCTCCAAAATCCTGAATAAACACAAGATCCAGGTCCGATTCAACACATTACATAAAATCCGTGATCTGGTTCCGTCTGTAAAAGATGTGATTCCGGACATACAGTACCCTGGCGTCTACAAACTAAGTTTCCTCTGTGGTAGTAGTTACATTGAAGAAACCAAACGACATGTCTCAGACCGCATTCGTGAACACAAAGCAGACCTAAAACACGGTAGGACCAACACCTCGGCCATGGCAGATCACTGTTTTAATTCAGTAGGCTCACATGACATTGACTTCTCCAAGACAGAGGTTCTTTGCAAGCCATCTGGCTACCATGAGAGATTCGTACATGAGGCTATCCACATATACAAACAGACAATTTCAACCGAGAAGATGGATTCTGGCTTAGCAATCATTGGAAGGATTTGATAAACCATTTCGGGTCTTAATTAATTGTTCACGCTTACAGTGGCTTTCAGACCGCATCCATTATTTTCGTCTCCCCCCTCCTCTTTCCGAACATAGATGGACTCGTCCATCTGAACAAACTGTCAAATCGCTCTCCGTGGTGCTAACGTTAAAAATAACCGCCACTTTTTTCAAATTTTTTTGCTGTGGTTTTCACACCTGATGATGATTGCTTGTGTTGCAGTCAAAACGTCGTGAGAATTTTATTGTTTTATATTTTTATTATTTGATTGTTTCCCTTCTACGTGACTTTACCGAAAGAACCAAGAATATGAATCCCTGCAGTCACGAAAGCTTTAAATCAAAACTTGTCCATTGTGTTTATGACGCTTATACATATAAATCATACGCATCGAACATTGTAAGATAATGTCAGATAAATGGGATCAACAGAACGGTATTTAATTTTAGCAGACTGTTTGTGCGTATGCACTAAGGTGGAGTCCATTCTATTAGGATTTGGTAACCTTAAATCACACTGACCAAATCTATGCTTTGCATGTTTCAGCTCAGTGGCTGAGAATATGAGGTTGCAGATAGGATTCTGGTTTATTTTAATTTTGCTTTGTGCGCATGCACAACCTTTATTTTCAGTCAGCTGGGATGAGGGCCCCTCCCCACTCCATACGAGTCATGTGGATCCATGTTACCATACTTTACTACGCCGCACAGTGCGGGTTCATAAAGAGGGATAGCGTAGATATGGGAGTATAGAAGTGCGGTACAAAAATGGGATTTTCTGTATTTGCTACCATGTCGCCCCACCCCACTATGGTGGTTGTCCATCCAAACGCTTATCCAGCATCCGGGATCTGATGAGATTGGGTGCGTTCCTTGCGCTTTACACCCTGACAATTTGAATGCTCCAGACACAATTTAGAATTAGTTTTTGTCTCGCACTATGCGTACATTTTAGCCCGTGGCTTGCAACGTCGCTTGAAATAATGCACGCCGGCCTCAACCTCGTGCGCGTGTGCGCGATGCGTCGGCACAGGCAACCAGCTGAGCAGCCGCTTGAGCAGCATGAGGAGCGCCAACGGCCTCCTGATGCTGCCGCCCAAAACGGAGCAGTACCTGGAGCTGCGCAAGGGGGAGGTGGTTGACGTGATGGTCATCGGCCGCCTATGACGCGGGAAGGGGGATGCGCGAATAATCCACGCGCGCACGACGAACGCGGTTCATGCGCGCAACACGGACGTGCCGGCAGGCACCGACTGCCGAGCGCATTCACACACACACACACGGTCGAGCCGCTTTGTTGTCGAGTGGTAGTGTGGCATTGTCATTATAAGTGGTACAACGCACGTCATTGTATGGGCATCGCACAAGAAAAATCCGAGTACACATACAACCCACCTGCACACGCGTCATGCAGAGCACAAGCTGCATGGCATCCCGATTGAGCCATCTAAGCCAGTGGTTAGTTGCTGGGGTTTCCTTACAACCATTAGGTTATATAATACATACATGTCCTGTATTTGTTAATGTGAAAGGTCATTGGGGTTTCTATCGTTGTTCTAAAGCGATTTCACCGACAGTGAAACTGCCCTATGGCTGGCATAAGGAATGAGGACGTACAGAACGCACCGGCGTCTGAGCGCAGTTTCGTTTGAGACGGATTCCATCGGCAGCCCATTGCAGTTTTAACCAGCAGCCTCGCATGGGTGAACTTGTGATGTCTTACGAAAAGCCCAAAGATCGTTATTTGAGTTCAACCATATATACTCTCTGTTAAGCTGAAATGGGCAAGTGTAATTTAAGATAGCATTAAAACACAGATGATTAAAATTAGCGTTAGTTAACATTTTGCATGTTGGTTTTGTAACTACGGTAACAGTGACTGGGTTTTTTGTAGTCCACAGAGGGGAAGCCTGAGAAATCCTACAAACGTGGAAGTAGTGTTGTCATTTTTTTATACTTACAAATACAACATTATATCACCGGTGTATTTTAAAGTTCAATAAGCATCGATTCATTTCGTCAAATGGAAAAAGAACAAGTATTACCATTGTCCGTCCCCTTTACATAAACAATAGCTGGGCACATCCCCCCCCCCCCCCCCCCCGTACTGGCCTGGCTCCCTGTAGTCGCAAGGTGTTGCAGTAGTGCTCTAGTAGTGCTATAGTAGTACTATAGTAGTGCTATAGTAGTACTATAGTCGTGCTCTAGTAGTGCTATAGTCGTGCTCTAGTAGTGCTATAGTAGTGATATAGTAGTGCTATAGTAGTACTATAGTAGTGCTATAGTAGTACTATAGTCGTGCTCTAGTAGTACTATAGTCGTGCTCTAGTAGTGCTATAGTAGTGCTCTAGTAGTGCTATAGTAGTGCTATAGTAGTACTATAGTAGTACTATAGTCGTGCTCTAGTAGTGCTATAGTCGTGCTATAGTAGTACTATAGTCGTGCTCTAGTAGTGCTATAGTAGTACTATAGTAGTGCTATAGTAGTACTATAGTCGTGCTCTAGTAGTACTATAGTCGTGCTCTAGTAGTGCTATAGTAGTGCTCTAGTAGTGCTATAGTAGTGCTATAGTAGTACTATAGTAGTACTATAGTAGTGCTATAGTAGTGCTATAGTAGTGTTATAGTAGTACTATAGTCGTGCTCTAGTAGTGCTATAGTAGTACTATAGTCGTGCTCTAGTAGTGCTATAGTAGTACTATAGTCGTGCTCTAGTAGTGCTATAGTAGTACTATAGTAGTGCTATAGTAGTGCTATAGTAGTGCTATAGTAGTACTATAGTAGTGCTATAGTATTGCTATAGTATTGCTATAGTAGTGCTATAGTAGTACTATAGTCGTGCTCTAGTAGTGCTATAGTAGTGCTATAGTAGTGCTATAGTCGTGCTCTAGTAGTGCTATAGTAGTGCTATAGTAGTACTATAGTAGTGCTGTAGTAGTGCTATAGTCGTGCTCTAGTAGTGCTATAGTCGTGCTATAGTCGTGCTCTAGTAGTGCTATAGTAGTGATATAGTAGTGCTATAGTAGTGATATAGTAGTGCTATAGTAGTACTATAGTAGTGCTATAGTAGTACTATAGTAGTACTATAGTATTGCTATAGTAGTGCTATAGTAGTGCTATAGTCGTGCTCTAGTAGTGCTATAGTAGTACTATAGTCGTGCTCTAGTAGTGCTATAGTAGTACTATAGTAGTGCTATAGTAGTACTATAGTAGTGCTATAGTAGTGCTATAGTCGTGCTCTAGTAGTGCTATAGTAGTGCTATAGTAGTGCTATAGTCGTGCTCTAGTAGTGCTATAGTAGTGCTATAGTCGTGCTCTAGTAGTGCTATAGTAGTGCTATAGTAGTACTATAGTAGTGCTATAGTAGTGCTATAGTAGTACTATAGTCGTGCTCTAGTAGTGCTATAGTAGTACTATAGTAGTGCTATAGTAGTGCTATAGTAGTACTATAGTAGTGCTATAGTATTGCTATAGTATTGCTATAGTAGTGCTATAGTAGTACTATAGTCGTGCTCTAGTAGTGCTATAGTAGTGCTATAGTAGTGCTATAGTCGTGCTCTAGTAGTGCTGTAGTAGTGCTATAGTAGTACTATAGTAGTGCTATAGTATTGCTATAGTCGTGCTCTAGTAGTGCTATAGTAGTACTATAGTAGTGCTATAGTCGTGCTCTAGTAGTGCTGTAGTAGTGCTATAGTAGTGCTGTAGTAGTACTATAGTAGTGCTGTAGTAGTACTATAGTAGTGTTGTAGTAGTACTATAGTAGTGTTGTAGTAGTGCTATAGTCGTGCTATAGTCGTGCTATAATAGTGCTATAGTAGTACTTTAGCCGCTCTCCCGTTCCTCGTGTTGATGGGGCGTGCCCCCCCCCCCCCCCCCCCCCCAACTGCTTCAAGTGAGAGTCGGCACCAGCACACCGCAGGGTCGATTAAAGCAAAACCGACGGGGCTCTTGCAGAGGCAAGTTTCACCACCCCAGACATGCTTAGCCCAGAAAGCTCTTACGAAGCTTGGTGAAAAAAAAGGAACATTGGGAACATCTCTGGTTTTATTTTTAAGCAAACTTGCATTTCAGGAGGGCTCTTCCTCTCTAGGTGTGATAAATGTTTTGGTTGAATTCTGATTTTAGAGTTATACAATTTAATTTATGGAAGCATCGCCAACATTTTTAAAAAGACGATATTCAGAAATAAAGCTGTATTCATAACATTGTAAAATGTCCTGCTTACTCATTGTCTTTTACAGTTGCCACCATTTAATCAGTTTCTAATGATAAACTCCTGGTTGCATAAAATACCTTAAGTTTGTTTTCCTCCCTAAAGTGCAGTAGTCTCGTAGTGGTTGGCGCACTGTACTACGGGCGCGGCTGCAGGAGTTTGATTCACACCCACGGCTAACATCAGTGGCGAGCTATGTCTTAAGCTGTCCTGTCCTCCTCCTTCACCAACCGCACTGGCCAACGTAGTTGAGTACGGTCACAAGCAGCCCTCATGACGACAGAGCGTGGAAGGGGCGTTTGTCCTGCGGTGGATTGAGAGTCGTGTAAATTATAAATATGATAACACCTTGAGGAAAATATTTTCTTGCCTGAGGTAATGACTGGGAGCGTTGCATATGAAGTCTGCATCATCCATTGTACCTTAAACAAGACACATTTTTCGTCATGGAATAGGTGAATTATATGTACTTATAAATAAATAAAAGAATAGTGGTTATAACGACATAATCAACATTTCAATGCTCATGAATGTAATAAGTGGCGTAATGTATAATGCAGAAAGAGCTTTTGATTAAATAACGTACAAAGTTTGCCACGTTGCAATAACTAAATTACTTGAATGAATGCAGCTCAATTAAACCGACAATTGAGGGTAATTGTACGCAACTCGTACTATAAGATTCACGAGAATGCGTTTCGAGAAGTTTATATTAAACTTCGCCACTTTCGTTTTGCATATTTGTGCACAATAAGTGTCAATATATAAATAAATACCTTAATATGTATGTCTCAAAAACCTCTCGGATACTGTCCAGAAAAGTAAAAAGCTGAAATGTGGTACATATGTAGCTTTTAGGATACAAACAACAGGAAAAATCGGAAGATAAGGTTTTTCATTTTAAAGCCCAAATCTCATTTTTAAGTACCCCATAAACACATTTGTGTGTGGTGTCATTCAGAAACTTCAAAATATAAGATTGCGTTTTTTCGTTTCGTTTGAGAGAGCGTTAAACAGCAAAGAAAATTAAAGTGAGAACCACTGTTATATCTTTTTTTAGCCGTTTGAACGAAACAAATCCGCATTTTATGATGTTCAAATCTGAATAATTCGAAAACGGTAAAAAATAGGAGCTTCCCCTCTGAGTATTACGTTAATTAATTTATATTCGTTCTCATAAAAAAAGAATAGAATCCTTCAATTGAGCGGTTTTTGATGGGTACGTCTTTAAATATAACAAGTTGAATCAAGACATTTTTTGAGTAGTTAGTATCTGATCGTCAAAAAATTATATCAGTTTAATTATTATATTTTGAAAACTTTTGCCTGGTGAAGACAGCCTTTATGAACTAGTTACTCTAATCAAATACAGGAAACATTTTCAAATGTAGCTGATTATGTCCCTGCATAAATCCTCCAAATTATTTCACATGCATAATTATGTGTTCTGTAGGCTGTCTCCACTTTCTTTAACGCGTTCTTTCTTAAGGGAACTCGAAAGGCCTCTCAATCAATTTATCGAGTGTCGTTATGCACTTTTTTACCAAATTAAAAAAAACATACATGCAGAGGGTAATCGATGAGCAACATCTTTCTGGGGGCTTTTTTTTCAAGAGTTTTTGTTCTCTTCAGATTTGATTTTTTGTGTATCTTTAAAGATCCTTACCATACCGGTAAGCATTTAAGAATACGGAACGAAGGGGGAAAGTGACTTAAGAGGCTTTATGCAACCGGGCACAAACCTGCATTGGAAGAGCGGTACCTCTGCTCTCACCCTCATTGAGTGGACAGATTGCCGTAGCTCCAAGGTTATATTCGGTGTCTGTCCCGTTAGCATTTAATTCTTAACGCAGAGACAACAAAGTGTGCCGCTTGCCTCTGTAGAGTGGCTGTGCTCGAGCCCTGTGTTTAAAGTATGAAGTCTACATTAATGTTATCGAAGCATTAACGATGGGCCATACAAAATCTCACGTGTATACCTGCCCATCATGCCTTACCCGACTCTGAGCTGCAAGGCATCTTGAACCATGAACAGATTGATCACAAGCCATAAATAGCCAGAGCCATGAAGTGAATAGATTTAGTAGAACACAATGACTCGATAGAGGTCCATGGTTTTTGCCGAATGCAAGTTTTATCCATTGTGTAGCACTACGATTGTCATTCGTTACGGTCAATGCCGAGGAATCATTTTGATTTAAATGTTTACATCAAGCTGATAATGCAACATATCAACGTTAGATTAGGGAACCCTCTGTGTAGCGACCCCATACGCTATGTGGATTGATGGTGGCAGTCCTGTGTGTTTGTTTAAAGCATTAAAAAAACTGTGAATTTAATTTCAAATAATCAAAGCTTTGGTAATTTAAACTTCAAATTATAAGAACTTTGTCAAAAGGCAATTAACATTGCATGTCATTTTCTTGATTGTATCAATGCTTTTTAATATTAAAATTTATCAAACTGTCTTATAAACAAAACATGTATTAGTCCAATATTATTCACAAAAAATCCCATGGACCTTAATTGATACAAACTTTATAACATGTTTGTGTGAACATGAAAACTCTTTGAATAAAATTGCACTGCTCACTTGAATAGTTAATTCAGAATTTGGTGACAAATTTTACAGCGGTGATGGGAATTGCATTTAGCTTACAAAGTGGTGTATAGTTGCTCCTTCGCGTGAACTTAAGCAATACACTACAGCCTCATTAAACATAACGTGGTTGTTTTTTGTTACTTTGACGAGGAGAACAATGTTTCATCAATATTTTCTGTTATTAGCCAAGGTGTTACCGGATT